ATTATAAAACGGGAACTTTATTGCTTATATTGACCACTGTTCATCACTGCTTCTCTGTGGTATAGACCTTGGACCTGTGTTTAATGCATATGTAGGATCTGGGCGAAATATTGGGAAATTTAACTCGGTATGAGCACTGAAGGATTAAGGAAAACTTTCGCGTTAAGTTACGGTTAACGTCAAAGGGGTACATAATGCTGGAAGGAATGGTGAGAGGTCAATAAGACGAATTAAATAAAACGAAGGAACGACAGCTGAGCCTTGAAGTACTCCAGGGTGATAGGAAAGTAATAACTAAGTGAATCGTCCACTATTTTGTTGCTACACGGATGTGGCTGCTGGAGAAAAAAAAATAGTCAACGTAATTAATGAAGTAGGCAGATCAAATGAATGAAGTTTGACAGGGAGAGTCTGATGCATGACCTTGAGGAAAGCTTTAGAAATATAAATTGCAATACGACGCAAAAATTAAAACAAAATGGAAGTCAAGGCTTTCATTCAAGAAACGGAAGAAATTCTGTGGTGGAACGACTGGAAAAAGTGTGTAAGAGAGGTGGTCGCATTAGAAGCGTTTAAATAGTTGTTTTGTTATGATATTTTCCAACCCTTTGGAGATGATCATCATGAGAACTGTGGAAAGATTGTTGGTACATGGAGGAGTATGGATCACCTTTTCTGGTAAACAGTTAGTGATATGTTATTTACAAGATAATTAAGAATTTTAAAGGAATAAGAGGGGCCTGAAAATTTGAGAAGGTAAACAGGTACAGGTGTAAATTTTTTGACGACGAGAGGCGAGATACCAACATGTCCTGGGCTTTGTGTGGGTGGTCGAGACTGACTGTTCGCTGTGGTAAGATTTTTATTTCATTGTTCACTGGATATCGTGAGGCTGTACTGATTGATATAAAGAGTGATGGCAATACTCCCCCCCCCCCACTCCTATAGAGAACGACAAGGACACACACACACACACACACACACACACACACACAGGCACAAACTAGCAGTACTGTTATTACGGGATTATTTGCTTGCCAATTAGATAACCCCAATGTATGTTACTATAAGGATAGGGTCCATCTACTCTCAGGTAAGGGTACAACAGAGTCACGTTATAACCTGTACACTGCCAGCACAACTGATCTTTTTAGAGCAGAGAAACCCATCACAGATGAATACAACAGGACAAGGTGAGTGGAATATGGTAAGGATGAAAGGTATCGGTTAAATCTAAGGGAGTATTGTGGAAGTGAAACCTAATTGAATAGTGACCGGAAGTAAGCTAGTAACAGGGAGGTTATTCATTCTATATACTCTCGCGGTAGTGCCTCCTCTGCCACCCGAGACTCACAGACTACTCCTACAGATAACAAGAAACAGAAAGAATTGAGCTCGGCTATATGAAGAAAACAGCAGGTAGTAACTGAAGAAAGATTAAGTGAAATAATATAATATTAAGATTAATGATGAAGGAGGATAATGGAGGTCTCATGGTGAGGGAGCTGCTCTCCCCGGCTGCCGCCGCCGCCCGCCAGGTACGTGGGCCAACATGAAGACCCTCAAGGTAATTTAGGATAATTGGCGCGGCTGGCAGGTATGAACCACAGTGACTCAATTTGTTATAATTGCTTATGGCGCTCACTGCTCTGTATTCCTTCGTAGGGACTGTTGCGTTACATTATTAATGATATTTCTAACATGTATTCATCGAAGATTACATGTAAGAGTAATCTGTGAACACAATTACCGTTAACAGAAAGCAATATACGCAAATCGAATTACTTAGGGGTATAATAACATGCCCTTAAGTGCGTTACATATTCTTTGCGCATATGAATATCTGCTGTACAGAAAAATAGTGAACACATATTTAAGTAACGAATGGGACGAGTGACAGTCAACGAGGCAGGTGGAGGTCAATTACAGGTGGTGCTGATGAAGAACGAGTCAACGAAGGTCACATTCCAACACTACACATGGGGGTGAAACAAATTCTCTTCATTGGGGTCATTCATAGTTGATTTTTGCGCTTCCCAACTACACAAACCTTACAGACTCTGCATGAAAGTTAAATTACCCCGAGTATGTTGCAATTACTGTAAAACACCGGACAATAAACCTGACCTTGGTTTGTAACGGATCCTCCACTCCATGGCTCCTCACAGTCTTTCATGGCAGTCCATCACCAAGGTTCAGATTTAACGTTTGTGAGACATACGAGTATATCGGCAGACTATTTGTTAAGAAGAGAGAGAGAGAGAGAGAGAGAGAAAGAGAGAGTGTGCGTGTGTATGTGTGTGTAGCAAATGTTACCAATCCGATGTGGGGAGAGAGTTTCTAATAGTTACCCAAGTTGACTATATACAGTATATTCTGCGCATGTTTCTTGTCATAGGAAAGCCGAAACACACAGACTATCATCGCTTTGTTAAGTACATATCTTCTGTTGTTCATATCCAGCCCCTCTAAAATGACCTTGGCTATTTCAAGTGACATCAAGTTGACTTCAATAATTGACCAATCATGTCTCTGTTTGTCAGGTAAATCATGTTTAAAAGCCGATTAATGGTAGCACGATCAGATTATATGCAATCAATTCTCTACGATAATCCATACACATTAAAAACAACTTAAAATTAACCACTTCATGTCTGTGACGGTTGTTCCCGCGCTGATCACGGCCAAACAGTTGAAATATAATATACTGTGAAATTCTTCATATTCTATTATGTATTTCTCAACTATTCACAGATTTTCTTAGAGTCCTATATTTTCTATCCAGTTATTACTCTGTTGGTAATATTGTGTTTCATATTTACTTATATATGGTGCTTTATCGTGCTATATATTCACTAAAACAGTCTCGAAACTGGGATCAAATGGACGGTGCTCGTTTGTTTAGGGACAGTAAACACCAGTGATGCGAAGCGAATAACTGGAACTCTTTGAGTCCTTTGTGTTCCCTACTGGCGCGTGCACACACACACACACACACACACACACACACACACACAACTATGACAACTACTTTGCTGTCACTCGGAATCGAGTATGACGATCATCCAGCTATGATACAATGTGATGAACTTATGAGTTATTAAGGACGTCACCTTCGTTGGTGAGCTCTGAGGTGATTCTTGAGGCCGATACGAGATCGGCAGGACCGTCCAAACATATTGCACGTGGGGGGGGGGGCTCCATCTAGTGCGGGAGAGGAGGCGGCAGGGTCTTTCCGGCGCTGGGGCTTGTCTGCCTCGGTATGAAGTCGGGCAAACTCGAAAGTATATTGAGACCTTCTCGTTTGGTGCTCCTCCAAGTGTTACGAGGTGGAGTGATCATCTCCCAGGTGAGAGGGTCGATTTGGCACTTTCTTTCTGGTTTGTCTTTAGACTATCCGCATACGTTTTCCGTTCCCCGCAAGCGTTACGTTTACCATTCATTAGGTGACTGTAAAGAAGCTGCTTTGGCAGTCTACTGTCGTCCAAGCGGGTAACAAGCTCAGTCCAACGTAGTTGTTCATGGATAATGATTGCCTCGATGCTCCTACAGTTGGTGTCAGTGAGAATACTGGCATTTGTTCTCTTGTCTTCCTCGCGAAATCGGAGGATAGAACGTAGACTACCTGTACGATGGTTAAAGTTTTTAAGTTCTTTGAGGTGCCTCCTGTATGTAACACATGTCTCGCTACCATACAGCAGGGTGAGGAGGACCACTGCCCGATACACGTGCAATTTTGTAGATAGTTTCAGCTCCCTACAGCTGAAGACACGGATAAGGAGTCTGCCAAAGGCTTGACATACACATCTGATCCGATATTGAGTCTCTTCATCGATTTCCACGGTGGTGGGCTGGTAGGAACCAAGGTACTGGAAGTGGGTAACATTAGAGAGCTGGATGGTAAGGATGTGGCTGAACCAGGGGCAAGCGAAAAGAGATTTTGAGTCTTACGTGTATTCAACTCAAGACCATAGTGTGCATACTCATCTGCATAGGTGTTCAGAATCTCCTGTAGGTCGCGTTCAGAGTGAGTGAAGAGGGCGAGGTCGTCTTCATACTGAAGTTCAGTAATGGAAGCGGCCGACACCTTTGTTCCTGCCTGGAGTCATCTTATGTTGAAAAGTCCCTTCATCCGGTACTGGATGTTCACCCCACCGGCTAAATTGGCACTGGCACGAGTAAGGAAGGTAGGCATGAAAATGGAAAAGAGAGTTGGTGCCATTGCACATCCTTGTTTTACTCCTGTTTGCATGGGGAAGAACTCAGACTGGGTGCCATTGTGTAGGACAGTGCAATTCATGCCATCGTAGAGTTGTCTCACAATTTCAATGAATTTTGGTGGACAGGCAAAACGACTGAGGGTCCGCCAGAGAGCTTCCCTGTTCACCGAGTCGAAGGCCTTGGTAAGGTCGATGAAGGCTTTGTACAAGTCACAACGCTGTTCTCTGCACTTTGCCTATATCTGGCAGGCAGCAAAGATCACTCCATTGGGGTGACTTGATGTTCTAAAGCCACATTGAGATTCTGGGAGGAAGTTTTCTACCTCAGGAAGATGTCTGTTTAGGGGGATTTGAGCGATAATCTTACAAGATACGGACAGCAGTAAGATTCCATGTTAGTTGCCACAGTCTGACCGGTCTCCCATATTCTTATAAACATTGATCGTGGGGGATTTATTCCTTCTCCCATAATTCTACAGGAAAGAGTGGAGACGTCTGGTAAGCTGAGGTCGTCCTGCTTTATACACCTCGGCTGGGATTCCATCAGGTCCTGTGGCTTTGTTATTTTTCATCTACTCGATGGCAGTAGCTATCTCATCCAGGCATGGGGTTAGCTGAGGTGGGTCAGCTATGGGTGCTTAGGAATCTGCTGGGTATTCAAGACATCCATATCGGTGTTTCGGTTGTGCAGCAAATGGTAGTGCTCTTTCCTGCACTGATGGATGCCTTCTTCGTTTTTGATTAGGGAGTTATTGTCGGATGAGCGGAGGGGTGACACGCCATGGGTAGTTGGGCCATATATTTTTATAGCAGAATTTAAAAATTCATGTATCTTGTGTTGACCAGCAAATTTTTGCATTTCACACGCTTTATTTTTCCACCATTTATTCATTTTTCTGCGAAGTTCTCGCTCAACTGCCAAATTCTTCTCGTGGAAGGAATCAACTTTGGTCCGAGACTTAGGGATGTTCCGCCAGTCGATGAAAGCAGCACGTTTACTATTGACGAGTTCTTCAATTTCCGGGTCGTTTTCATCAAACCAACCCTGGTGTTTTCTTTGAGCTGGCAGAGGGTCTCGTTGCAGGGTTTTGTGATGACTGCTTTGGTGGAACTCCATTCGGACTGGGATTTTGATTGTTAGTTGTTGGGTTGTTTATCAGTCCATCCTCGAGCTACTGTCTGAAAGCATGTGCCACCGTTGGCTCCTCCAGTCGCTTGGTGTTTAAGCCTCTTCTGGAGCTTTGTTGCCTTCGTTGTTTTGGGGCGACGTAATGGCAGAGTTTGGCTCCTACTAGCCGATGATCTGCATCACAGTGGTCTGAACCACACATGGCTCGAGTGATGAGAACATCTCGGCGATCTCTTTCTCTAAAATGATGTTATCAATGAGATGCGAATGTTGGGATCGTGGGTGTTGCCAAGAACCTTTTAACTTGATCGGCCTGGCTAAACAAGCTGTTCCTGATAGTGAGGTTATTTTCAGCACACTTTCTGAGGAGGATTAAGCTGTTGGAATTACACTTGCCTACTCAGTTTCTCCTTAGGGATAGAGGTTAGCACTCTGTCAAGGTCGGCGTAAAAGGCCTCCTTGATGTCATCCTCTGCTTCCAGTGATGGTGCGTATGCACTGATGAAGAAGGCATGACGTGAGTCATTCAGTGTGACTCGGTGCGTCATGAGACGCTCGTTGATCCCAACAGGTATTTCAGTTAGCTTATATATGATGGATTGGCGAATGGCAAAGCCAACACTGCAAATGCGGTTCCTCTCCATAGCAAGCTGACCCTTGTCCAGGAACCGGACTCACTAATGGCTGCTATGTCGATGTTATACCTAGACAGTGCTTTTGCCACATGGGCGGTTCTTATTTTAGTGACGCTCAGTATCCAAAAGGGTCCTGATTTTTCATGCAGTGACCATAAGAGGTTGTATAGTTTGTTTTTGCTTTGATCTGTGATAATGTTTTCGATCGCATTAGAATGACCATACTGGGTGCAGTTGCCCAGTCATTTTTATTAATTTAATTTTCTTTTTCTTTTGGCATGCTATATTTAGGGTGCCTTTTCTAGCCCCTTCCCCATCTGGGGTGAGAACAGTCGCTCCTGGAAAGGGCTGCTCAGATCCCAGTGCATAAATACCATTTTATCTATGCCACCCATGTGCAGAGTTGTGACTAGAGATTTCTGGCAGTCATCTCTGCCTGCCCCATCGCCACTCGTTTGTCGCCATAGGACTTTTGGGGGTATAGGGGTTTTGATGATAATGGGATGTATAATGAGCTGGATGTTGGCTGTGCGTGAGTTGGCTGGGGAGAGGGAGAGTTGTAATGGACTGCCGATAACCCACATTGTTGGGTTTTGCCTTTGTAGCCTATCCATCCTGCAGTGCCTTCATCCGCCGGTTTAGTCATTGAGTTCCCAAATTGGTCACTTCTTTTGCCTATACCACCGTTGGGGTTTTATTGGAGCTCTGTAAGCATGTCTGCCTGATGAGGGGCTCCAGCCATAGATTTTTCGTTTAAGGATTACACCCGTAGCCCTATACCTACCAAGGTTAATCCGCACAGCAGCAGGGAAGTGGTTGGTAAGTGCCAGGACGTGTCCACATGCTAGTGGGCCTATGCTCCGTCCCTCTGGGGACCATTGCTGCTCCTAGATCCCCTGCTGGTCTAGCCTGGGCCCACGAGGCACCCAGTTACCTTGTGTTGCCAAGAGGAGGCACAGCAGGAGTCTTCATGGTGAAGAGGGTGTGTACTGACTGGGGAAGACTTACGTAAGGTTGCTTCCATGTTCACCATGACGGCTAGCCAGCGGCGGTAGCTCAGAGAGGAAGCAAGCAGTGTTTACACCTTAACACTAACATAATGCTACCATATTAGACGCACTGTACCACCCTGTGTGTGCCCCACACACACATGTGTAGATGATCAAAATGAAAAATATTACCATCACTATTCAAATATCGAAATGTTTAAACGCATGGCAGCAGGAAACATAAATCCTATCTGTTCTCAGAGCTACTTGTTTGTAGGCGACGTTAATAGTATCCTTATGAGAGCCAAAATTACCAGTGTCTTGCTAATTACGACCACTGAAAATTTTATAGAATTTACTCGAGTCGGGGTGACTCAGACATCTCCCGTAACCAGGTGAATTTTTGTAGTGTTTAAGAGGTTACCCAAATTCACAGTTGACATGGAGCTATCAACGTTTCCTGTTAACATTTACAACTCCCAAAACAATATCATACTTACTCTAAACCCCCTTGATGGTAACTAACTGGTGAAATGAATTCACCAATAATATATAATCCAATCCTACATAAGGGTAAGTAAATAAGGAAAGCAGGTTACCAGCTTGCCGGTTTCCTGCGCCGACCATCGACGGCAGTCAGCGTTGGTAGGTGGACACAGAGGACGTAGGTATATGCTGGTATATCTGCGAGTTATGGTCCAGCTGCCGTCCAGTAAAGATGTCTAGTTCGTCGTCTGACGAAGATTTTATTTTGCTCGATAGTGCTTATGCAAAAATCAAGAGAAAAAATGGAATACATGAAATCAGTCGCGGTAGAGAAAATTACGGTGACTATCACCATCTCTTTACTGAGCTAAAAGGGGACCGAGTGGGCTTTTTTTTTGTTTCAGTATATGAGAATGACTTTGGAAACTTTCGGCTACATTTTGAAGAAGGTTGAACATCCTTTGACGAAACATGGTGGAACTGGCACACCTCGCACAACTAGCACCACCTCATAACACCATCTGTGAGGGAATTACTACTCCAAGCGAGGTCCCTCATAACACCATCTATGAGGGAATTACTACACCACGTGATGCCACTCATAACACCATATGTGAGGGAATTACTACACCACGTGATGTCCCTCATAACACCATCTGTGAGGGAATTACTACACCACGTGAGGTCCCTCATAACACCATATGTGAGGGAATTACTACACCACGTGAGGTCCCTCATAACACCATCTATGAGGGAATTACTACACCACGTGAGGTCCCTCATAACACCATATGTGAGGGAATTACTACACCACGTGATGTCCCTCATAACACCATCTATGAGGGAATTACTACACCACGTGAGGTCCCTCATAACACCATCTATGAGGGAATTACTACACCAAGCGAGGTCCCTCATAACACCATCTATGAGGGAATTTACTACACCACACCACGTGAGGTCCCTCATAACACCATCTGTGAGGGAATTTTTCCCACGGAGTCCTCATAACACCATATGTGAGGGAATTACTACACCACGTGATGTCCCTCATAACACCATCTGTGAGGGAATTACTACACCACGTGAGGTCCCTCATAACACCATATGTGAGGGAATTACTACACCACGTGAGGTTCCTCATAACACCATCTATGAGGGAATTACTACACCACGTGATGCCACTCATAACACCATATGTGAGGGAATTACTACACCACGTGATGTCCCTCATAACACCATCTGTGAGGGAACTACTACACCACGTGAGGTCCCTCATAACATCCTTCTGTGAGGGAATTACTACACCACGTCAGGTCCCTCATATCACCATCTGTGAGGGAACTACTACACCACGTCAGGTTCCTCACAACACCATCTGTGAGGGAACTACTACACCACGTGAGGTCCCTCCTAACACCATCTGGGAGGGAGTTACTACACTACGTGTTAGCTATTCAACACCTACATTAATCTGTATGTTCACTGTATGTTCCTTTACCTTTCTCTAATGAAGGGTTTTGTTAAACTACCAATGTATGTAATAAGTCATTTATGTCCAGTGTATATTTTCAGCCTTCGGGCTGCAGAACTTTTTCAATAAACCGTTCATTATTATTATTATTATTATTATTACGTCGACCTTTGCGGGCAAGCGAGACAACAATGTTTTATTCATTCCGGTAAACTTGTCATCGCGGGCAAACAGTGTCGACAGGCTTCGACTTGCTTCTACTGTGTGCGGCCGCGCTTCGTAGCATGGTCACATTCATGACGCTTGTCAGCGCCAGTCGGTGATGGTAACCCGCAGGCGGGTAAGCTGCTTTCTTTGTGTTCTTACCCTTAGAAGGGGAAAAAAATTACGAGTATCTATTATGTTTCGTAAGTAATCAAGTTTTTCTTTCCTTGTTTCATAACATACGCAGGGAACGCCAAGTAATTGCTTCCACGAACCTGATCAAGGCAAGTAAGCTGAGACATTCATCAGACATAAACACTGTAACAAAATTGAGAAGGCAAATATAGTTATGCTGTTTGCATTTGCAATAACATCAAGGAACATGAAATGAAAACCTAGAATTCCACGAACTCTCCATCCAGCGTACTGGCATAATAAAAAGAATAAATTAATTATATTCACGTATCTTGCGTCTCCTACAGCACACACACACACACACGCACACACGGAGGAAAAGTTGCTGTTCTAAGAATCACACAACAGGTCCAGCTAATATAACAATATAACATCCTCCTCGTATCTCCTCACACGTGTTGCTGTCATGTGTTGCCTTTAGTCTCCCACGTGTAGTGCAGTTTGCACTGTATGTATAAACGTAATATCAAACAATAAAAGCAACTGCCGCGAGCATCTCATCTTCGCTAAAACGCAATTAAACAACAACAGCAGCGTAACACTAATTCCTAGTAATCTTTGACCTAGGATTTTAAAATTAACTTGGTCAATCTTGTGATACTAACCCAAGTTCAGCTGAGATACATCTCCTTTTGACAGGATTTTTTTTATTTGTATTTAAACCATGCGGACTGACCCGGACTCACTCACTCAGACTAATTACAAATCACCGTCTTTCCCTGAGAAGGGGGAGGGGGAAGGGGAGGGGGATGAGGAGGAGGGAGCAATACTATTAACCTATACTCCTATACTATCCGCCTAAGGAAAACAAGAAATAGAAACAATGCTCACCTAGAGGACAGTCTATAACAGACGACTGGACTAGCATTAAACACATTTTTAAATAAAATCTAAAAAAAAATCTTTATGATAAGAAATCGAAACAGTCACGAACCCTCTCCTGGTTGTGTGAAGAGCCTTTGTTGGCGGGGAGTAAGAGTGATGTCTGTATATGTGGTAAGTACT